GTTGTTTCGTTAAATTTTATCTTACTACTATCGCACAGAGACAATTAAGCCTGAATTGTATTTAGTTATTTATTATACTTATGTCTATTTCTTGTACATGCTTAAGGCTTATCAGAGTTCTAAATAAAATCCCACATATACTCAAGCCTTAGGGCCAGCACAAGTTGTCATATTTTGATAAACATGCGGTGATGAAAGGAAAGTATAATAAATAATGATTCGCCAGGTTGTCTGTGTATACTAAACTTGACGAATCCTGTAATACCTCTAAATACAATATTTAAATGTCAGAACTTAACAATATTCATTGCAATGAAATCTTCCCCCCCCCTAACATGGACCTATTATAAATTTGTTCTAAAGACCAATGATGCATCTATGTGGAATGTTTCGGTTTGAGATATGTGTTAAGCAGATATGCAGCAACAGAGCCAACTTCCTGATTGTATAAATTTATGCTAAAATGATTGTTTCTTCAACAACAAGGTATTTTATTTAGTGTCGAAGTGAAATTAATAATCGGGACTCTCCAGATGTTTTATTATGCGTGGAGGGTGAATCAAATGTCCATGCATTAAGCCTACAAGAAAAAAGTGGTGGTTTTGAGGTCCGGATTTTAGATCATTTCGGATAATGGACGTCTGAATTTCGGACTTTGTACTGCATTGCAAAAATTTAACAATGCAAACAAATGACTAAATAATTCATTCAGTACCAGCGTTACCATATTATAAAAAAGTGAAATACTTCACATTTAGTAAAAACATGTTAACAGAAATTGATTAATGTTTATCCTATCTTTACAGGAAAGAAGTCAATAGTTTCTATAATCTACATCTTTATGAAACAATGGAAAATTTAGTATAAACCATCTAGTCTGAATTGAACAAAAGAAATATAGAGAAAATTTTGATTTTGAAGAGATATTCTTCCATGATACACATATTTCATTGGCTTTTCAATTATGATTTAAGAATCGACGAGCAATTTATTTCAAAATTTTAATTCTGCATGAAACTTCAGGCAATGCTATATTACCATAATATAATGTTAGAAAGTAATAAATATATAATATAATCACCTTTAACATTTATAGCATTAAGTATACTGAAACATAAGAAAAAATTTTCATTTCACAATATGTCAGAAACAGGTTTCTGAACATAAAATATTCAGACTTAAGCTGATATGTTATAATAGCCATCAATATAATTTCACCTAGTTATTGCATAGTTAGAAAAAAATGTATCTGAAGACCTACTATCAAACTCATAAAAAATGGTGCTAGCAAAAATCTTCATTTTTAATGTTGCACAATTTCTACACCAATTAATCAAAAATGAAAAACAGGCTCTAGTTGTGCATAGGAAAATTAAAAATGTATGATCAAATTTTAATTAAATGCATAAAATGTAAATAATAAGATTATAGATGTTTAACCATTAGCCAGGTGCTAAATAATGGTGGTGCAGCATAACAGCAAGAAATTTGATTAAATGGGCAGTATTTTGTGCTCAAGTTAAAAAAATAATTGTTGCCCATGTGCAGCTGTTAATTTTTGGATCTATAAACCGCATGAAGGATAGAAGTGATCAAATCTAAACTGATAAGAATTTTATTTATTCCTTAGTAATAATTCTTCGTAGAGGCGAAAAATCAAAGGCTCTTAAAATTATTCTTAATTGGCACCAAAGAAATTCTACATAATATAATTTCAAATAATAGTGATTGTTTCTGTGCGATTGTCATGAAATGATTTTTCATGGTGTTTTCTCACCATAATCTTTCAAACAATCTTGATAACACATTCTTCATTTTCATATTGTTTCTAACTGCTCTAGTAATTACTGTCATTGAACAGTGTGGATTAACAGAAAGCATTTATCTCATATTGCAAACACCAAATATTCTCTATTCCTGTTGCTCCTTCCTATACATATCCTACATATATATATTGAGGGATATATATTTATGTATATTAAATGAAGAAATGTATAATTTGGTTTTTAACCTTATTAAAATAAGCTTTTGTCTACTTTGACAATCAAAATTAAATTTCCAAATTTTTGTTGTTGCTACTGTTTCAATAATACAGTGTACTTCACATATATAATTATATAAGTCTATTAACTATTTTTTGGCATTTCTAATTACTCTTTATTAGCTTACTGAAGTCGTTTCTTTACTTCAGAAATATATAAAAAATTTTAAAAAGTTGGGAAAAAAGAATGACATGAGATTAAACCCTGTACGTTTACATGTGCCATCTTTTGAACAAGTCTGATTGATAATTCTGAACCAGTAGGTCGTGCTGTAATAACGCTTGAGTTTTTCTGATTCTGACTCTTCCGTAGGCGGTCAGTGATTTTACATTCGATAACTGATTAGTTACCTTCGGGTAAGAGAAAATGTTCTTCAGGACACAGGAAGACGAGACGGACGATGGTGAGCTCAGCGAAATGAGTTCAGTTAGCTTACATTAAATGAATAGGACTTTCCCCCCTACGAAAAGATTTACGTTCGCATAAGGAGAAAAGGAATAATAAGAAGCGGACTAAAACGAATTCGGAGTCTTCCGATGTAAACAGCATGATAGAGAAAATCCATTCGAGGAAATTTCGCCTTCTGACAGATGATGATGAAAATATTGTAAGCCTCGTTGAGCAGATTAAGAAGCATGGACAAGAAAGAATTGCAGAACAGAAGATGGGTCACTTAGAGCAAGTCTTATTGAAGCAAGCTATTGAAATAATACAAGAAAAAGGGGAAAATGCTGAAAAGACTGAAGGCAAGTGGATCTTGCCGAGGAAGACAGTAAAACCTACCCGAAAAGATAACCTGATGGAAGTTTCAAAAGAAAACAGGTTTGAAGATTTTAATCCTGATGAGAAGCAAGAAGGAGGAGGAGGTGCCCCGCCCATAGTTTTCCAGCAACATGCAGTTGATTGGGTAAATGTGCACGAACTGCTAATAGAAAATTGTGATGAAGAGTTCGAAGCTGAAATGAAGTTTAGATCCATCTATGTTAATATGAAGAGTGTTTTTGATTACAGAAGAGCAACTGCTACCCTGCAAAAGAAAGAAATACCACATCCACTCCTTTCAGTTAGCGAGTGAAAAATCGCTGTGCATGGTGCTGAAGAACCTGCCCAATACAGTGACTGAAGAAGCTGTAAAGACCAATCTGGAAAGATGCAAGTTTCCCGTGCTTAAAGTTAAGCAGATAAAGAAGAGTAAAGCGAACAATTTTGAGAAACTGTCGTTTTCATAGTAAACCTGAAGAAAAATGCTACATGATATGCCATTCATCAGCTGGATAATATGTTTAGCTTGAACATCAAAGTAGAAAAGTTCTCTCCCAAGAAGAACCCGCTTCAATGTTTTCGATGTCAGCAGTTTGTACATTCCCAACATCTATGTATTAACCCTTTGATGCGCGGTGGTCACGCCCTGAAACCATCATTTCCCGATTTTTTTTCTCCTCTTTTTTCCAAAATTTTTTAGTGAAAATGAATTGATTACCGATCTTTTACATCTAAATAACACAAAATGACTGTAGAATCATATATGTTTTAGGTATTAATATTTCAGATCGGATGCCTTTTAAAATTCGTTTTCGACGAGACAAAATAAGTTCCTTTTATTAATATAAACAACTTTAAATTTCAAAAGTTAGTCATCGCACATAATGATTTCTATCATAAACAATAAAAAATTGCAGTAATTAAAACTGCATATATAAAAAAAAACTCTATATATATGGCATTGCTATGTGGTTTCAGGGTGCGACCACTGCACCACTAGAGCATTGTGTCACAATGCTTACAATCCTCTAGAGGCTCGGTGGTCGCGCCTCGAAACCACTGGCGTTTAAGCAGTTTAAATGGTTAAAAGGTCTAATTAAATTATATATTGTTTTAACTCTCTCAATTAGTCATTGTAATACTTTTACATGTTATATCAAATAGAATTTTGGGTAATCTTCGGATTATGGTAACTTTGCGATTTTGGCGAAAATTTGGCGACCAACCCTGCTACAACAACTTCTAGTTTTGTTTTGGACGCCATTTTGTTTTCACAAAGTAAAGGCTTTTTTTTTTTTTTTACTCAACATTTTTTCCAACAATCTGATAGCCAAATTACACTTATACTAGAACTTTTATGCAACAAAAATGCTTAATCATGACAAAGATTAGGTGCGAAATTGGGAGAAAGTGCAGAATCACCCATTGCTTGCCGCGTTTTTAAGAATTGCGCATACAGGGTATCATTCATGTACACGTCCACCTATTTTCACTTAAAAAAAACCCAGAATTGCACAAAAATGGCATCGCGCACACTCTTGACTTATCCATGTACACTGCTAAAGTACTAGCTAGTAACCTTTATCGCCTTACCAAAATGTCGCCAAACTACCTGTTACCATATTCCAAAGATCAGCCAGAATATTTTGCCCTTGAAAAATGTTAAGTTCCTTTTTTTGGAAAAACAAAAACCCCAATCTATGACTAAAAATTAATTAAACAAGTTTTATGTGTAGATTCAAAATATATAACAAATCTAAACTGGATTTCAAATTTCATTCTTAAAAATGCAAGTGTACAATGAAATTTACTTTTTATACTTTGACATAATAGTAAAACTGGTCACTTTTAATCTTTCAAAATAATGCCTATTATCTGCTATGTATTATTTTGTATCAAACAAGCAAGAATAAATTCTTTTATATTTACAAATTTTCAAATATTTCATCATCTGCAAACATTAAAATCTACTTAAATATTTCATGTCAATAAATAAAAATTCCTAAAATCTAAAATTTATTGTTTTAGAAGTAATATTTGTGATTTATACTTTTTAATCTATATTCGGATGGGATGGAAACAATCATTCAAAATATCACAAGGAAAAATAAACAGAATAAATATTAATTTTACAAAAATAGAATAACTTTTACTTGCATTGACCATCATGAGCATAAAAAATAACAAAGAATGTACCTTGATTTCAACTTGGTTAAAAGTCTTTCCATTATAAACTCCAACGATAGACCCAACCATTTCAGGTACAACAATCATATCTCGGAGATGTGTTTTTACAACTTCGGGTTTTTCAAGAGGACCGGCTTCCTTTTTAGCTTTCCTCAATTTTTTAACAAGGGCCATTGGCTTGCGCTTCAGTCCCCTAGAAAACCTCCTCCTTGCACGACAGTGCAGAAGTTCCGAGAGATTTGAGCTAAAAAGAGAACCCATTAGAAATTTGTCTAGTCAGAGTATATACATATATATATATATATATATTGTTCTCACAATAACCTCGTTTTTAACCAGTTAATCTTTTAATTCGCTACAATATGGCAAGTTTTGGCAATAAGAAGTTGGAAGTTCTATATTTTTAAGTAGGTATTTGAATATGTAACTTAAGCAGTTATTTGAATAGTCAAATGCTTTAGAATAAACAAACTCCCATATTTTCCCTTCATATTAAAACTGTCAAAGAATGAGTGCACGGTATGTTATGATCTACTAGGATGGTTAGATGTACCATACAAGGATTTATCATCCTGTATTTTTACCAGTATCTTAATCACAGTCAATGCATGATTCAAGCTGAAAAAAAAGCAGATGAATCTGCACCATATACATACGTAATGCATTAGGTGACTTTTGGTGCTAAAAATATCTTTTATTAAGTACAATACTACTGTACTAAATTCATATAAATTATCAACTGTACATAAAATATTAAATTAGATCAGAAACATTTTATTAACCCCTTAACTGCAGCGGGAGTATATATACGCCTTGCTCAGCCGATGCGCTAACTGCCCCAGGCGTATATATACGTCCTTCCAAACTGCTATCATTTGATTTGCGCTGCTACACCTAAAATTATTCGCAAAGTTAACGCATCGGCTGCGCATCTGGGGCAGTTAACGCATCGGCTGAGCAAGGCGTATATATACGCCCGCGGCAGTTAAGGGGTTAATTATAATAATGCTGCAGTTAACAAAAATTATCAGATGTATATATACAGTAACATATTTTAAACTATATTAAATATATTATTAAAATGTAAGAAATTTGAGGAATATACTTATATATAGCATTAGTGTATACAAATAAAATAGCACCTGCAAAATTAATGCATAAAAGCACAACATAATAGCCCCAAATTCAGAAAGAACTTTAAAACAGAAAAAGAGGAAAAAATCAAATTGTGGATACAACACAGTTTTTTAAAAATACATAAGCATCTAGAATAAATGCAGTTAGAAATTTTATTTTTTTTTAGGATATATAAAGCTAGGTAATACAGAATTTTTACGCTTCAAAAATTAGCATTTCAGCTTCACAGACCAAAGAACTTCTAAGAAAAGCAAATGACAGCTCAGAGTAACTCAAATTTTAACCCTTGTAGTGCCGTAACCAAATTTATTCGGTTACGAGTTTGTTTTGTCATTTGGTATATATTAGCTTATAATTTAAAATATTTTGCTCTTACTTCTTTTAATAATGTAAATGTCATCTTAATGAGTGCAAGTGTATAAGAATAAAGACTAAAATAAGTAAATAAACAAATTTAGGAAATGCGTGATTTTTAAAAACAGGTCTTCATGAAAGATCCCAAAACTCGTGCCACTCAGGGTTAAATCAATCCCAATTTTCTTTTGCAAGCATTTAGTGGTTAGAAAGGAATTTTAGTCATTTGTTGAATGGTGAGTAAAGGATACCTCTGCATTGCAGAAAATAACCATATAATCCTGAAAACTGATTAAGGAAGCATTACTGATGCAATATAGCTACAGTAAAAGTTTCCTGCAAGTGGCGAGTTAACATTTTTCAAAAAGATTGATATATTAATATTTATAGTAAATCAAAGATTACAAATATATCCAAAGGAAAAAACTAAAATACAAAAATGACAATTAAAATTACAAACTACAATTAGTACAAGACAAATTAAATTATGAATTAAATGAGCACATCTGTTCCACTCATACACAATGCTAGATAAGCCTAAAGGAATCTTAGTCCACTGTGCAGACAAAATATTTTCAGTTTAATGCAAGGAAGAAAGAGACAGTGGCTGATCTTTGGAATATGGTAACTGGTTAGTTTGGCGACATTTTGGAGGCGATAAAGGTTACTACCTAGGACTTTGGTAATAATGTGAGAAGTACTCAGTTCCGAATACGCATTATTTTGTGTGAGGGATATGAGAGATCATGAGATATTTCATGTGACATTAATGGACGAATTACAGTTCTTTAATCGGAAAAGGGAGGGAATCTGGAAAACTGTAGTAATATATTATTTTGTATTAAGCTTCATTGTGTGTTGTGTGAAATAGTTTAAGTGTGCGTGCCACGTAATGAAGATTAGGTAAGTTAGTATTTTTTATCATTTGAGGATATTATTTTTATGTATTGTTCTAAATGTAAGGAGTAAATAAATTAATATGGTATTATTGGAAAATTGTTATTAGCAATGATTTAGTTTAAAGTAATTAGGATTGTAATCTACTTTTTATTAATTTAATGTATGTGCTTATTTATATTTTAAGTAGTGTTTTTTAATTTAATGATTATGATTTTGCGAGTTATATGTTTGTAGTATTTTGGAATACGTTTCAGTAGAATACGTTGAGTATTTTCATGCATTTTCGTGAAATTTTTCTAATTTATGAGAAAACTGCAGTGTACATGGATATAGTGAAGAGTGTGCGCAATGCCATTTTTGTCCAATTCTGGGATTTTTTTTAAGTAAAAATAAGTTGACGTTTACATGGTTTAGTGATATTTTAATTAAATTATAGTTATTTTGTGAATTTTATGTTTGTAGGAATTTGGTATATGTTTCAGTTGAAGTAAACGTATATGGAAATAATTTAAATATTTGACACTAAGTATTTGTAACCATTTGTAACGTTTGCGGTATGAATTCGTTGGTGATGTTTATAATAGATAATTTAGAGGTAAAAGTTTTTGTATATTTTATTTATTTTATACGTGGAAATGTTCATCCTTGGAAAGGGTAGATACTTTTTCGTGATCAGGTAATTTCATATATGTGATTTTTACCGAGTTTAAAGATTCACAGAATTTGTTTGCATTTTCGTGCAAATTTTTTTAATTTATGAGAAAATAGCAGTGTAGATGGATAAAGTTAAGAGTGTGTACAATGCCATTTTTGTGCAATTCTGGGATGGTTTTTTAAGTAAAAATAAGTCGACGTGTAAATGGTTTATGTGTATGTGCTATTCTGGAAAATGCGCAAGGAGTTTGCGATTGTGCACTTTTCCCCAATTTTGCAGTTAATATTTGTGAGGATTAAGCAGTTTTGTTACATAAAATTTCTAGCATAAGAGTAATTCGGCTAGTAGATAGTTGGAAAAAGTGTTCAGTAAATAAAAAGAAAAGAAACATGTCTTTACTTCGTGAAGACAAAATGACGGCGAAAAAAAAATAGAGGGTTGCTGTAGCAGAGTTGGTCGCCAAATTACCATAATCTAAAGATCAACCGAGACAGTTTCTGTTATATGATCCTCTTACCTGCTGCCACAATGAAAGAAAGGAAGCACTTCCGCAGAGAACGCGGTAAATGTAAACATCGCCAACTTTGGCGATAATAGTTCAAACATGGTAACCTAGCTAATTCATCTTATTCGCTTGTGCGAAGGTTGTCGTTGTTTGCATTTGGAGATTTATATTATTCTTCTCTTATTTATTGTTATTTTTTCTGAATTTTTTAACAACGAATGGATAGAAATATTTTCGCATAATTAACGAAGTTTTCGTCGAAAGATGCCAGTTCTAGGCTCGTCAGTTCAGGATCAAAGGAAGAAAATATGGCGGGAGGGCTGAATGCTAATTTGTAACGCTGTTCACGTTATGTTCTTAATTATTAACAGCTGTAAGCACGCAGAACCATGAGGTTTCCAAATCCTAAAATAATTTTTAAATGTATAAAGTTCTAGTTTTATTAACTTTACAATGCTACTGAAGAAAATTTCCTTACTGTTGAAGGTTATTTGTATTGTGAAATATATTATGAAAAAGAACAGGTATTTGTTGCAACGTAAAATGCTTTAAGCTGTATACAAGTAACTTGAAAAAAAAAAAAAAAAACTGAAAACTATGTAAAATGGATGTATTAAAGGTCATGCATTCATTAATTTATTACATGGGCATGGCTCTTACCGAAATACATCAATCAACAGGCCAAGTACTTAATAATGAAAAATGACACTTGTAATAGAAATATTAGTATTCTATATGAATTAGAGAAAATACATATAAGTATAATGTAAACATAAGTATAACAATACTAATTTTTATTTTTTAAATGAATTTCTACTTCCCGTTATGCTTAATACATTGTTTTCTGTGCTAACTTGAACTTAATATAAATTTATTTTCGTATATCACGTTTAACCTGTTAGTTTTACATCTATATACTTATTATCTGTGAATTTTTACTACCATTGTCTGCTAACTTGAATTTACATACACTAAAAACCACGTTTACGGCTTGGCTCATCCTTGACGAGCCGCGAGCTTGGCGAGTAAAAATGCAACGGCGCCAACGGGTTATTTCCCGAAGCGCCAACGGGTTCTCTGCGGATGAAAACCCGAAAGAAAAATTAATGTGTATAGCCCGTATGAAGAGATACAGCATAAATAAGAATTTGGTTAATTTTCGATTATGGTAACTTGGCGACTTTTTGGCAAAAATTTGGCAACCAAACCCGCTACAGCAACCTTCTACTTTTTTTTTTCGCCGCCATTTTGTCTTCACGAAGTAAAGACAGGTTTCTTTTTTTTTTTATTTACTCAACTTTTTTTCCAACAATCTGCTAGATGAATTACGCTTATGCTAGAAATTTTATGGAACAAAAATGCTTAATCATTACGAATATTAACTGCAAAATTGGGAGGAAAGGCAGAATTGCAAACTGCTTGCCACGTTTTCAAGAATTGCACATACACGGTATCAATGTACACATCGACCTATTTTCACTTAAAAAAAATCCCAGAATTGCACAAAAATGGCATTGTACACACTCTTGACTTTATCCATGTACACTGCTAAAGTCCTAGCTAGTAAGCTTTATTGCCTTACCAAAATGTAGCCAAACTATCTGTTACCATATTGAAAAGATAAGCCCAATATGTATTTGGATAAACTTAGTAATGTACTATATAAATGAATTACTAAAAATATAAATATTAACTAATTAAAAAGTAGCTTAATCTTTATATAAAAATCTACAATTGTTTGCAGTAGATTAAGACAGCTCAGATCAAATGATATTTAATAAGAAAAAGGTCAATAAAATTTAATTCAGATTAAATTAAATTTAAATTATTGTGAAAATTACCAGGAACAGAATTTGCAAAATTGCATTTATATTGCTGGAAAACAAAATTTACAAACCAGAAGATATAACGACCAACCGGGTCATGATTACGAGTTCCAGTCGTGAATTCAATCACATAGAATACTTCAGAAATTAACTAAAATAAAACAAAATCACTACCTCAAATATTTTAAATCTACCAGAAACTGAATAATAGCAAGCTTCACACATTACTTTTTTAAATACTAGGTAGGTAAAATATATAACTATTTTTCTGCATCCTTTATATTAGATACACGTATTTTTTATATTTAAACTTTGTGCCATATATGGCATCTCAAAACAAAAATACAAACAGGATAATACATACACTACATGGCAATACAGATACAAAATTCAAGGTTAGGTTAATTACGGCAAAGCCTGGAACAGCTTTAGTATTAGTCTTTTTTGGCGAGAAATTTGTTTGGCGACATTTCGGAGCAATAAATGTAAAATTATGATAACCTTGGTAACCCTAAATACTGAGCTGAAAAACATGCCGCCATTTATGTCCACGTAACTTTAACGAACTTGGTAGGTATCAGAGCTTTGACGGGAGGAGGGATAAATTGCATGTTTTTCAAAGTTACGTTTGTGTTAGGAAAACACAACATTTAAAATATTTTTTAAAAAAGCTAAAATTTGATAGTTAAAACTGATGCTTTTAATATTACACCACATAAGCCTTGACATTTTTTCATGTGTCAACTCTGCATATTATTATAAACTCCACCCCCCCTAAGAAAAAAAACACATTTTCAGTAGCATGAGGTAAACTCTTTGTGTTCCTTTGCTAAGGAGATCAAAATTACCATGGTCTAAAAATACTTTTTTGACTCATATTAGAACTATAGGGATGTGTAATTGCATAAATTCAAAGGTTCAAATCAGGACCAAAATTATTGCTTTTATAACATTTTTAGAATTTGACTGACTATAAAAAATATAATGTTGCTTAGATTATGGAATATATAGCTTATAATTTACAGTTCTCAAATTTTGTAAATCTTACAATCCAATAGCTGCATATGAATATCCTTCGCTGAGTGTTATTACTTTTATTAATAGTATGTTGACATAACAGTCGACTTTTTATTTTAAATTTTATGCCACTTTTCTACATTACTTAAACATTTTAATCTAACAGAAATCTGAATTTTTGTTAATAAAAACTCTATAATAAATTAAGAGTACAATTTATATATAAAAATTTGACTACATGGCAAGCACTTAGAATACTGATTTCAATGTCTTTAAATGTAAATGTTATTATAAAGTTTAGATATATTCTTATAACGTTAAAAATATATTCTTAGATATACTTTTATTCTCTTATAAGTTTAGATGTACAGAACAGAAGGCACAACTTTGTGCTTACAACTCAGTCAACTACTTGTGGCAAGATAACTTATGATAACAATTAAGTTCAAATGTAAAATTTAAATTCAAATAAATCAATTTAATGCAAAGTTGGTTAAAAACTTAAACAGCATGGAATTTAAGTATCAGCAATTACAATGCAAGACTGAAGACTACAAATCTTATTTATCTAGCAACACTAGTAACGTGGTAGTAACGAAAGGAAAAACACGGTTTGTTTTACAAACTAAAAACTTCATTTAGATTCTGGTGGGAAAATGGATGGATGAAATTGATAGTAAAGATCCCAAGCATAAAATAACTCTGTTTACAAAATAAAGAATGTTACATTATACTTTGTGCCCTGATTAATTATTCACTACATGAAATAGTGTAATGTATTTTTTTTTTTTTTTTGCATCATATACAAATTATTTATTTTATTTAAATGCTGTCCAAAACTGAACAGGATTTTGCAAGCATATTGACCATATTTTTCGACCTATAGATGCAACACTTCTTCACTTCAGAAGTAAGATTTAGAATTAAGAAATAAGAAAATAAATATATATGTTGGCTAGCAAAAGAAGGATGCCTTCATAAAGTACTTTTTAAGAGAAACTGGATCAGATTCACATTACATGGACGAAAAACCACAAGAACTCCCATATAGCCAGCCTGAACTACCACTGTTCAGTGGCTTATCACTCCAACACTAGTGGATTCCATTGACTGTTCGAATTTTTCACAGAAATCATCGTTTATGATGATTGTTGTATTATTACCATTGGTACAAAATTTACTCATTATGATAATTTAATTTTAGCTTTTAAATTATGAACATAAATTACTTGTAATAAATTTAGGGATTAAAAAATACACACTTCTTAATATTTCTACCATTTACAAAATTTAATCATAAAAAGTATTTCTAATGCTGTTTCAAAACTTGCTCATTATAATTTAATTTGATTTCCTTCACTTTGAAATATTTTTTTACTTTCTTTTAATAACAGAATCTAAGAAACTAAAAGTAACATATACTACTAGTTTGAAATGCATTTATGAACCTCTTGTAAATTTCATTATTCATAACATAAAAATTAACCTTTTGTAAATTTAAAATATTAGCTAAGTACTAATATAATATAAATATTAACTAATTACTTAAAATATTAGTGTTTAATACATTAATATTATATTTTGTAATTTACAATATTAACCTTTTGTAAATTTCATTACTCATAACATAATCACTGCCATAAATTCATTTACGGTAGTGTTTCAAGAATTTATCATAGCAGTACTAGAAATGTTGAAAATTAGAGAAAGACTGTTTATTCTGATTAAGAGCTTATTTTTTAGGATTGTTATTTAGTCTAGATCGGGTTTTGTTGACAATCCGCCATTTTTTCCCGATCTTCAAAGCCCGCCAAATCAAAAAATCGCCAAAAGGACCAATACTAAAGCTGTTTCCAAAGCCTCGAGGGCTATCTGCCTAAGGGAAGGGATGCCTTCGTGGAGGACTTTCTAAGGGAAACTGGCTCATATACACATTACACATGGGAAAAACCATGAAAACACCCATGCAGCCAGCCCGTTCGCGGGATTCAAACCTCAGACCGAACTACCAGTGTTCAGCGACTTTACGGCTCGGCCGCTAGTGGGCCTACAATATTCAAACACAATAAAGCTAAACTGTTCATTCTTATGAATTTTAAGTGCTTACATTCACACTTACTTTGACATATCAAGCAACTGATCTAAGTCAACTCCTCTGAAAGTGTATTTACGGAACGTCCTTTTCTTTTTCAATGCATCTTGATTTTGCTGAGGCTCCTGCATAATCAAATTTATACAATTAAATCATAAAAAAACACATTTTACTCAACATAAAAAAGCACAATTGTGGTTTAAAAATTTACAGGTAAGCTTTTCTGACTGGCTATAATGAGTTCGGTCTTATGAATTGTCAATTTTACTAGCAGCAAAGTTTAAAGGTTCTGAAAATGTCTTGAATGCCATCAGCATTTAATAATCAAAAAAATTTACTGACCATTAAGTATAAATTAGGAAAAGAACAGTAATTTAAACAAAACAGCACCTTCATTTGGATGTACATTTTGAATAAAACTATAAATTTTAAGTACAATGAGACACAAAAACCTTCTGCTCCAGGAGTAAAAATATTGATATTCTAATTAACCATAATGAATCTGATTTGAGCATCAGTGCTTACCATAAATCTATTCTGCTTGCCTTCCCACGGTAAATCATGTCATCCCAGTAAGCAAATAATGGCTTCCTATTTATTGTTAAGTATATTATGCTCTCAAAGTAATTCTTTCGAATCTTTCTAACAACTCTATATTTCTTCCACAGTCAAAGATGTTTTGCTGCTAGAAATGATAATAATCTCACCAGCATTCCATTTAATCCTTGTACCAGTTAATTAACAAACTCTATCCAACTTAGCATATCTCTTCAGTGTGGTTTCAGATACATCTAACAAACTAGAAGAATTACAATTTCGTGTCAAAAAACACAAATCTTATACCCAAAGAAGAAAAATAAACAAATCTTCAACAGCTATTCACAGTAGAAAACTTAAATTCTTTTTGATAAAAATGATCCATAAAGCTTCTTCAGCTTATAAATTTAAGATTTACTTGCAGCAATGCTTCTGCATCTAACTCGTTATTTCTTACGTTGAGAGATAAATTACTAATTTAATAAATCTTGTTATGTCTTCTAAAGATTAAAAAAAAAAAAAAAAACTCTTAAGTCATGTTATAAAGGACAAATACAGTAAGCATATAAAATTTTAAGCATTTTAAACTAATATAATAAAATACAAAAAATTTTACATGTAGATTTTACCAACAATCATTAATAAATTCTGAGACAAAATTTTATGCCACATATATGTTTCATAAATTCAACATCGAAAGTGGAGATGCAACTGAGGCTTATACTTCAGAAATTATTCAACAGAAAGGACTTCCCTCCCCTTTCTAAAGGAAGCATACAAACTTTGCTTTTTTTTTTTTTTTTTTTTTTTGGTTGTATTATTTTAAAGAAATAACATAAGGGATAGAAGAGGGATTGTGCTTAATATAAGAAATTACATTTCCGTATTAACGTAAACGGGGGTTTTACCTGTGAAGGAAAAAAAAAAAAAACTAGGCAGAAAAAAGTTTCTGGACTCACATCTCTAAGTTATCCGCATTTTATTACCTCAATACATAAGCTGATTACTTATATCTGACTGAGTGTAATAAATAAGTTTCCGCTTATATCAAAGTTATGCAGTCTCCAGTCTTCACTATCGTGGCTGAAATTACCATTATTCCATTACAGAGAATGAAATATGCAACACGGTAAAGAAATAAAACCATAATATTAAATAAAAGAAACTACGATACATAAATACTAAACACACTATCAAACACAAATAATAAACATCAGATCACAACAGATATAACTTTCCTTAACTTACCTCCTCCATATTGATTATTTTATGCTATGATTTAACACGCTGAAAGTACCATTCGCACCTTCACCAGAGATTTAATGTTGCCAATAACGAAGAAGCTTTATGTTAAAAAGTTTAAAAAACGGGATTGCCAGATAATAAAATGAAATTTTTATATAAATTTCTATCGCATTTCCCTCCTCCTTCTCCATTTCATTTTATTCTTAAAAAAAAAAAAAAAAAAAAAAAAAAACTCAGTTATACATTTCTATTGTATAACCCTGGAATATTTTGTAGTTCAAAATGTCATTCAAATAGAACAAAAAAATGACCAAAATTCCTCAACTTAGATGAAAACAATAACTGGGGGTGGAGTAATTAAATGAGCTTAGAAGATGCGGGCAACAGAAATAAAGTACGGAAGTCGATTAACGTCTTTACATTAAAGTTAACAGTTATTAAGAACTTACAAAATTGAATGTGTCGTCAAAACTTTTACACAGTTGTAATCTCCGATTGCATAGTGCCATATCGGCGGCTTTCTGCACGTACTTGACGCCTGGGGGGCTCAAATCCAAATCATAGGTTAATATTTTTAATTAAATGCTTATTACAGTATGAGTTCAATGGTCAACGGAGATCCGCGGTTTCAGCGCGAAACGCTCTTACTCCTTTTCTACTTAGCTCTTATCAAGAAAAGAAAAAACTTCATGAAACTGTTTGAAGATGGTGACATGGCAGAGTTTCCGTTGGTCGTTCATCTCTCGGCGAGTAATGGTAAGAGGCCAGCCAAGTGAAGTTATTATTATGATGATGAGGATGTGTGTTGTTGCTGGTAGTAAGAGCGAATTCAAGTGGGTATCCGCGATTCAATTCACCTATAGGTGGCGCTTTCACACATTAATGTTGCGGATAAAAACCGGTATTTTGATTTGTGATCTGGCTTCGTACATTCAAAAATGGAGTTGCTTAGCTTTTTCGGAAATGTTTGACTTTGTTCAAGGAGGCGTAAATTCTTGCTGTGTTCCTGAAGCAGAGAGAATTTTAAAAAGCGAATTATTTAGTAATGCACGGAATTTTACTTGAAAAATACAATTTACAAATTTTGGTTTCCTATTTAACCCTTAGCCTGTCGAGTTATTTTCTACAAATACCTTTAAAGCTGTAACTAATTTTGGACCGAGCTTCCCTTAAAATGTCGGGAAAATAACCCTAAACCTCTGAAAAATGCCAGCTACTGCTATTGTTATTTCTTTCCCCTCCCTGAATACTAGATCAAGGGTTCCGACTGTAAGTAAGATGGATTACTATCATAAATATTAGTACCTGTAGATGCGAGTTGTCAAGAAAGTTGCAAATGACTATAATAGTTCTCCGTGATGACCGTCCGAATGCCGCAGGATACAGGTGCGAATACTATCTTAAAGGTTTTTCTTTCCTAAAACACTCTTATTTTGAAATAACTTGATTTTAAAATTTACCCGCTTTTTCTTTTATTATTATTATTTTTTTTTCATGTTTAATCTAAGTTACCTAAATCGCTGGGTCATTGATTATCATCAGAATTTCAACGCAGATTGGTTAAACTGCTATTAATAAAATCCATATTAAAAAATATCTGGTGCAATATTCATTCCTTCTGTGAGATTGCTGAAATATTTGAAAAGCAATGTTTATAGTTCGATTGCATTTGATCTTATTTCTGATTTTCCATGTTTTTGTCATAAATTAGAAATGCATTTACATGCAGATAATAATTATTTTAAATTTTTTACTTAAATATTACCTATAATTTAAGATATTTAGCATAATATTTGAATAATTACTATGAAAAATATCTGTTTTATTATTTCTGGCAAATTTAATTAATTTAACTTGATGTGACTTTTAAACATGCTTTTAGAGAAACTATAGCTAAATATTAAGGAGATTTCAAAATTTAAACTTTTAAAGCATATTTAATGCTGAAATTTACTTAGTTTTTAAAACGGATGTTATTTTCTGAAAAGATTTCGTTTTTTGAATGAACAATATATACTTAATGTATACCAAATATGTTCTTTTAAGTAAAGTTAATTATTCAGCGAGCTAAGATTTGGTAACTGAATATCTTAATTTCAAGAGCGGAACAAGATTTTCATGATTATACCTGGATAGCTAGCTGATTTGAAAAAGGGATGGGTTTCAAATGTGACTTTTTCATTTGATTTATGACAACAAAAAATTAGGTGATTTCAGGATATAACATAAACATTTGCTTTAAAATATCTTCTCGATCTCAAAGAAATTAAATTTGCCTAGGTATAAATAAATAATAATGCCTTTGTTTCTGCTTTTCTTTAGCAATAATTTCGAGATTTTTTTAATACAAAAATTATGGTATTAACTTTTAAACACCTGATCTGTTTTTAAGAGCAATAAACAAAACATTTAGGAGTTATTTAAGGGCTGAAACAGTGATAATATCAGTGTCAAATTTGCATTTCACTTTTTTATATACGTTCAAGATATTCTGAAATTGAATTTTAACCTGAAATAGTTTTTCTTTATGAATTTTCAGGTGATCATAAATTTATTGACTAAATTTAAAAATTCTTGCCTTCCCGTCCTTGAAACACCAGTACACTTTGTCTGAAATAGGATTAAAAACATTATCCTATAACAGAAAGCTGAAAAGGAAAGATGACACATAGTTAATAAGAAACAATACAATGTTGTTATTTTATTAGCTTATAATATAATTGTTCAGTATGGCATTTTTGTAAATAAAGGGTATTATTGTACATTTTGTAAAAAATAAGTAAGCTTTATATTTAATAATTATAACAATTATTAATTATTTAATAAGTCATTATAAGATTATAATTCAATATTTTTTGTGGAATATATTTTTTGAGGATATTTTCTTCCCTAGGAATCCCAGCATTCAATTGTTTGAAGCATTAAGTTCTAAGAAATTGTCTTGCTTCAACGTAGAATTAATTATTCACATGAAGTCCCTTAACCAAAGAAAATGCCTTACAAGGGTGTATTTTTGAACAACAGCTTTTATTAGAATAAATATTTTTATTTTAATACTATTACTAATATACAAACAAATATTTACGTTCACTAGAGTGAATAAGAGTACTGGATGTTGATGTTTGTTCTGGATTTGTCGCTAGCAACCAAACAAGTTAGCGGCTTGGTGTCTTTATAATTTTCCCCATGCGTTATGCGAGTTCAAGCCAATTTCAATTTGAAAATTTTCCAAGAAGGTATTCTCTTAAAACAGATAGTCCAGGACTATTTTAACAACTGTAAAAAATAATCTATGTATATTTTTTGTTATACGACAGCACGAGCAAAATGATTTTCTCTGCAAAAACATATGCACCAGCACTGATTATCGGCCGCTGTTAAGTTAACTATATCTCTTATTCTTTGCAATACTTTTATTTTTTTTCAAAGAAAGTTTTGTCAGTAAAATGCACTATTTATAATCTGTATTTTGTTCTTCTGTAATGTAAATAACCAACTTAAAATACATATTTCGTAAGCTGAGAAAGCCCAATAGCGCGCGAGCGGTTTCTTTTTCTATTCAAAACTGTTTAGCGCATGTTACCTTATTATAAAATCTGATGTGTACACCACATGACTTCCTTGTACGGAATATTAAATTATACGCATATTTTCTTGCATTTCGTTTAAACTTATTGGATTGAATTAAATCTACTTCGCCGACAGCGCATAAACCACAATAGAATAAATGCATTCTTTAAAATTCACTCTATTTGTTTACCATAGCGACACTCTGGCGCTAGATTCACTTAAGTATTATATTTCGTTCATTAGTATTATATTTCGTTCATATTATAGCACAGAATGCACAAAATTTTATATCATTTAAAGAATTATCTAATCGTTGCTTCATGTTCTATTCAAATCCTATAATAAAGCTAGAACGATGTATAAAAGCAATTAAGCAAACAAAACAAAAAAGAAACAGTTTTTCACAGACGATTGAGTATTTCTCATTCAATTAATTCAGTTCTCACTTTGCGACAATGCAAAAACACATAAAAACTCAAAATATCTGTATTTTCTTCTTAATGACTTATTTCTTCAAAAATTCCAGAAAGGATTAAGCAAGATTTAATTCGCAATAATAAATGATGGCGTTATCTTTGTTGTTGCGAAGCTACGCTTCTCTAGCTTGGCAACAAATTCACTACTCTGCTGTTTCAAATGTAAACAAGCAATGGCCGCCATCAAAAAAATTATTAGGCTTAGCGGCACTTAAAAGAACTTTAAATTTGTTGATAATTCTAAAAACATTGTATAGAAATTTACTAAAGGCATAAAAACCTTAACCAGAAGATAAGAACAACATAAGTCAATCATTTTTAAAGCAAAAAATGTACAATTTACAAACATATAAGTGTAAAGAAACTGAGATCACTGAGCCGGGTAACAGAGTGGATATATATATATATAAATATATAAAATATGTTACGGTGAAACACCGAAATCTGGAGAATGTCGACTTTCACCGGTGAATGTCAACATTCACATAGTCTCTTGGTGTATGTCCGAAATATTTTCCAAATACTCTTATTTCTGACTTAACCGGTCAATGTCGACATATAACAATATTATATTTTCTTCTCCGTAATTCAGTCGCTAATAAACGCACTTGAGACTTGAAATAAGAACTTAAGAACATGAGAACCTAAAACACACAATACATTCAAAATGAGAAAGAAAAAATAATAGAAGTTAAAAACTTACTTTTATACAGTACGTTCTAAATGAGAAAATAAAATAACAGTAATAAAAAACTTACTAAATTATGTGATTCAAATCTTATTTATTGCTACAACTTAAACTATTATGTCACTTTATGATCTCTCTTTTCGACTTTCACCAGAGCATATCTGTGATTTTCGACATACACCGGTGATTAGAATTGTTCACAGCACTGGAAGATTATATTCCTAAAAGGAGTTGCATCTCGTAAAGGACGTTTAAAGAGAAAAAATTCGTATTCGTTCACATGAGGAAAAACGAAGAAACCTCCCCTGCAATAAACCCATTCGCCGAGATTTGAATTCCTTCAAATTACCAGTCTTTAACGAGCTTACCGATCTTAGCGCTCAGGGGTCACGCATATTTAAGGATAAGGGGAAGGAT